CCCCAAAACCCCAAAACCCCAAAACCCCAAAACCCCTATATTCGAATTGGTTGCTGAAGTTATAATATTAAATTCAAAATAATAAGTTTTCTAGTTCTCATACAAATACACATCAATGAGTCGTACAACAATGGAAGAACCCAGCGAGCTTGAGACTATCACCGAGCTGCTCAGAGAAAAAGCCAAGGCTCTCAAAGCCACCAAGAAGAAACTCAAGAAAGTCGAAGACAAGTTTGTTGAGGTAAACAGCCATTTCCAAATTATAGAAAACAAAGCTTTATCTGACTGACAGAGAGAATCTTGCACGCTTATTGATTGAAACATACAACGATCCCGAAGTCCAGAACTTGTTGAGTGTCGAAGAACTTGGTTCTTACAGCTACGATGCTCTGAAGCCAGTCTTGGAACAAGCAAAGGCTAGAGAGCACCAGAAACTAAGAGAATTGACTGATGCAGACTTGATTCCTGATATGCAAAGACAAATCGATGTTTATAAAGAAGAATTCAAAAATTTCAATGACCAGATCAACCAACACAAACAGATAATCGCTTCCAATGCTCAAGAACTTGATCAGTGCAAAGCTGACAACCAACACAAAGACGCTCTTATCAAAGAACTCAGAAAAGACAACGACCACATGAAAGCCAGAATGAACAGTCTGCAGAAGACCGTCCAAGAACAGAGCGCTTACATCGAAGACGTCAAAGAAGTGTATGAAGACACCACCGTGAAGAAGGCTGATCAAATCATGGGGCAGTTTGAGAGCATCCTCGGCATGGGCCAAGACGACTCCAGCGAGCAGAACCACTTGAAGTCACGCATCTCGAATCTTCAGGATGAAAACCTGAGACTCAAGAGAACTCTGTCGGAAATGAGCGAAGACTTCGAACGCAAACAGTCTGAAGAAAGTGCAGGCACTCCCATGCAAGAATCCACTACAGAACCAGTTGAGGCTGAGCCGGTGACCGCAGACATCACTCTGGACCCAAAATATCTGGAACTGATGAAGGAACTGACCCACTACAAAACCAGCTTCTCCGAGAAGCAGAAGGCTCTCGAAGAGACCACAGCCAAACTGGAAGAAGCTACTCGACTGGTAAACATGTACAAGGCAGACATTGACAAGCACAAGGCCTCAACCAAAGAATACTTGATGAAGAAGGAAAAAGAAATTGAAAGACTCAAGAACAGGATTAAGAAGGACACTCGAAAAGGCAGTTCGGCTTTGAAGAGTGGGAGCGACAGTGTAAATAAGAGTTCAGAGTTACTGATGGAGAGCATGAGGTCGGACATCCCTCAGGAGTTTTTTGATGAATCCTCAGACCTAGAGACAGACCTTGCAAGTAACTCTTTAGAATAATTATAGGTTCTAGAAGAGTGAGTACATTTGAAGATGTAGCTCTTACAAAGAACTCAAAAAGTGAAGATCACAAAAATAACATTCAAAATATTGATAATGAAGGAGGCATTAGCATCGAATATGTTAAGAATGTCTATATCAGCTACCTCGAATATAAAGCAATGAAGAATGACAAAGAGGCTAAACAATGAGAAAAGGTTTTATTCACAGCATTAAAGTTATCTCCTGAACAGATAAAGGAGATTGATAAGTTGAGGAAGAAATATAAAAATTATAAGTTTTGGAAACTCCTTCCACAAACATCTTCCTCTAAAAAGAAGAAGGAAATTGAAATACAAAATTTGATTGCTAATAGTGCTAAGGCACAAGAGCATGGCAAGATGATTGGTGATAAGAAGTAAGTCATATTGACTCTAATTAGCTAATATTCTATTTATTAATGAGTTTATGGGGTTTTGGGGTTTTGGGGTTTTGGGGTTTTGGGGTTTTGGGGTTTTGGGG